CTTTTATTTTAATCAATTCACCGCATGCAACATCGCTGGCAAGGCCGGCATTAATAACCATCCTCAATCTCTATCTCCAGCACAATAGTGCTGAACCTGATCTATTGGGCCTCACAAGATCACGGCTGAGATAACGTTGGATCTGCTGCCTGTTGGTGTGCCTTTGTCTGTGATGTGGTACTCAAAGAGAAATTGGCACCAAGGTACATTTTAGAGGTATTAGGGCATGTGAGCCCAAGTTTGGTCATAACGGTAGGTTTTAAGGGATGTTTTAAAGATGGAGAGGGTTATAACAAATGTTGGCAGTTAAGATCTCAGGTCGTAAGAAACAACAACTTAAAATCAGGCCTGCTCAAAAGGTCAGAATTGCAGGAGTGCAGGTATCTGGCTGCTGAGGGACAGCATCCTAATGAGAAATAGGAGACAAAGCATAGATCCTTGAGGGTTAACAAATATAATAGTTTTGGAGAAGAAAGTGAAGCCATAGCAAATATGCACTTGCTGTGAATAGATTAGAATGAAATTAAGTGATAACAGTCCCACCCAAATGAATACCAGCGGAGAGGTGTTGGAAAAGGTGCAGCTGTAAAGCTCATAGATGGTAGTTTATTTTCCATGGTCACATAAAATATCATTTAGGACTTTAAGACTCATTTTTGGGAATGTGGGAGAGGCAGAAACCTGTCTGGAGAAAGTCAAGCCTGGAATACACCAGGGGAAAAAAAAATGTATTACTACACAATGTTACAAAAATACAATTGGAACATTGATTCAGTGTTGAGCAGAATGGAATTTCCAACTGAAACCATACAGCACAGTTTATTGGGCAACCTATGTGCTCATGTATTTACAAAATTTAGAAACACATCCACTTTAGGTTGCGTAATAAATTTTTTTGGCAGGTTTCCCAGAAGATTTGCATTACTTCCTTTTATAGTTTGTTAAATTTGAGGAATAGCAGCTCTCTTGTTTTTGGTAAAAGAATTTAGCACCTGAATGAATTGTGGTTTGTGATGAGTCAGGTTTCAGCTGACATAGTTCCTTGAAGTCTATTTTTGCTTTTCTCCATCTCCCTCTCTGCCTTCACAATTTCAAGCCCTTGCTGAGGGACGCAGTAAAGCTTGGGGCAGCTGCTGCCAAGATACAGTGGGGAAAGACCACTGTCTGAGGTCTTCCTACTGAAGTTAAATGGGGTTCGTTCAGTTATTGGACCATCCTAGTGCCTCAACTGCATGTATTTATAGTCTTTATATGTGTAAGAGATGTCATTGGTTTGTTTGGACAGAGTCAAACTCCAATGTTTGTTTGTTTCCTTGATTTGCTACTGTGCAGAACTGAACGGTTTGTGACAATGTGTATGTACAAAGATATCTTTTATGAATAAAGTATATATTTGAAATAACAAAAACAATTCCAAGACCCTTCATAATATTTCACCTCTATCCACATAATTACAATGACTATTGTCACCAAGTTGAGGCAAATTTCTGTCTGGATTAACAGATACTATTGAATCAATGAGAAATGCTGTCAAACTGTGCAGCAGGCAGGAGCGCTGTAATTTCACTGGACATATATTCAAACGTTAGGTCTATTTTTAGCTCAGTGTTCTATTGCTTCATTAATTTGATTGCTACAATGTATTGGCAAGTTGAGCTTTGGATGTCATAGTGCTGGCTTTTCTAAAAAGAAAATCATTCATAGGATGTGGGTGTCATTGGCTGGGCCAGCATTTATTACCAACTCTTAATTGCCCTTGAGAAAGTAGCAGTGAACTGCCTTCCTGAACTGCTGCTGTCTTTTTGGTGAGGTTAGGGAGGGAATTCCAGGATTTTGATCCAGTGACACTGAAGGAACATTGATTATATTTTCAAGTCAGGATGGTGAGTAGCTTAGAACAAAGAACAGTACAATACAGGAACAGGACATTCAGCCCACCATGTCTGTGCTGACCATCATGCCACTCTGAACTAGTCCTATCTGCCTTCACATGGTCCATGTCCCTATATTCCCTGCATGATCACATGTCTGTCTAACAGTCTCTTAAATGTTGCTCAAAAACAAAGTTGCTGGCAAAGCTCTGCAGGTCTGGCAGCATCTGTAAAGGAAAAAACAGAGTTAACGTTTTGGGTCCGGTGATCCTCCTTCAGAACTGAGGACCAACTAAGTAAAAGAAAAGACTTTTCTTGCATATCTCCCTTTAAACTTTTCCCCTCTCATCTTAAACTAATGCCCCACCTATTACTTGATGTGCAATTTTGATTTTTTTTATTAACCAAGTAGTAGACCTTTCCAAGTGAAACCCCAACAGGGATAAGGCTGCAGCCGTCAACAGTAATCAGACAGGAGCACAAAAGCACAACAGAAAGCGGAATTTGTAATGGATAGTGTTCCCATGTATCAGCTGTCTTTGTCCTTCTGGATATAAGTGGTCGTGGGTTTGAAAGATGCTGGTCTAAGGATCTTTGGTGAATTTCTGCAGTGCTTCTCACAGGTGGTGCACACTGCTGCTACTGGGCATTGGTGGTGGAGGGAGTGGATATTTTGTGGATGTAGTGCCAATCAAGTGGGCTGTTTTATCCTGGATGGTGTCGAGTCTCTTGATTGTTGGAGCTGTACCTATCCAGGCAAGTGGGGAGTATTCAATCATGCTGCTGACTTGTGCCCTGTAGATGATGGACAGGCTTTGAGAGTTAGGTGGTGAGTTACTGCAGTGTTACTAACCTCTGACCTGCTCTTGTAGCCACAGTCCAGTTCAATTTCTGGTCAGTGGTGACCCTCAGGATGTTGATGTTGGTGGATTCAGTGATGGTATCACCATTGAATGTCAAGGGGAGATAGTTGGATTTTCTCTTGTTGGAGATGGTCATTGCTGCAGTCCGTTGTACGAATTTTATTTGCAACTTGTTCAACCCACAACTACATATTGTTCAGAAACAAATGCAGAATGCATCTGTGGAGAGAGAAATAGAGTTAACATTTTGAGTGTGTTATGACTTCTTCAGATATATATACATATTGTCTAGGACTTGCTGCATTTGGGCATGGACTTCTTCAATATCTGAGTAGTAGTGAATGATAGCACAATGTTCAGCACCAGAGAGCATTGCCACTTCTGACCTTATGACAGAGGGAAAGTCATTGACGAGGGAGCTGAAGATGGCTGGGCCTGGGACACTACCCTGAGGGACGCCTGCAGAGATGTCCTGGAGCTGTGATGACTGACCTCCAACAACCACAACCATCTTCCTTTCTATGGCTCCAACCAGTGAAGAGTTTTTTTCCTGATTTTCATTGATTCTAATGTTGCTGAGGCTGCTTGATGCCATCTGGTTTCTGTAGTTAAATATGGCCTTAATGTCAAGGATAGTTACTTCCACCTCACATCTGATATTCAGCTCTTTTCTTCATGTTTGAACCAAGGCTGTAATGAGGTCAGGAGTTGAGTAGCCCTGCAGAGAGGGTGCACAAAGAGTGAAATCAACATTAAATATACAATTCGAAAGGTCCATTCAGAAGTCTAATAAGATTGGGAAGGAAACTGTTATTGAATCTCTTGGTACATGTGTTTAAGCTTTTGTATCTTCTGCCCAATTGAGGAGGTTGGAAGAGATTATAACCAGGGTGGGAGGGGTTTTTCATTATGTTGGCTGCCTTTCCAAGGCAGTGAGAAGTATAGATAGAGTCAATGGATAGAAAGTTGGTTCACAGCTCTGTGCAGTTTCTTTCTGTCCTGGATAGAGCAGCTGCCATATCAAGCTGTGATGCATCCTGATAGAATGCTTTCGATAAAAAAATGGTAGTAGTCTTTACAGGAATGCCGAATTTCCTCAGTCTCCTGAGGAAATAAAGGCATTGTTGTGCTTTCTTGACCTTCACATCATCATGGGTGGACTAGGGCAGATTGTTGGTGAATATCATCCCTTGGAACTTGACACTGTTGACTATCTCCACCTCAGTATCATTGATGTATTCAGGAGCATGCCCTCCACCTTGTTTCCTGAAGTCAGTGACCAGCGCTTTTGTCTTGCTGACATTGAGAAAGAGATTATTATCTTTACACCATGCCGCCAAGCACTCTGCCCTGTTCCTGTCTCCTGTTTTGGCATTGTTTGAGATCTGGCCTACAATAGTGGGTGATGTCAGCGAACTTGTAGATGGAGTTAGGACGGAATTTGGCCACATAGTCATGTGTACAGGACGTACAGTAAGGAGCTGAGTACGCAGCCTTGTGGGGTGCCGGTGTTGAAGATTATCATGGAGTAAAGCAGCAGGTTTGCTGAGTCCAGTAAACAATCTGCTCTATAATAAACCTTTCCACTTAACCATATTTTAACTATCTGAACAAAAGCTAAACCAGAGAGATTGTAAAATATCTATCCACCACACATCTGCTAACTAACACTGGCTTGCTATACCAGACAGCCTCCTGTCCTGAACAAAAACAAAATTGCTGGAGAGGCTCAGCAGAGTTAATGTTTCGGGTCCAGTGACCCTTCCTCAGAACACTGTTTCAGGTCACTGGACCCAAAATGTTAACTCTGTTTTTTCCTTCACAGATGCTGCCAGACCTGCTGAGCCTCTCCAGCAATTTTGTTTTTGTTCCTGATTTACAGCATCCGCAGTTCTTTTGTTTTTTTTTTAACCTCCTGTCCTGTCCTGCCCCAGCATTACTGAACAAGTAAACATTCACTGAATAGCAACCCCCATCATCTCATCAAATTTTTTTATCAATCCTAAGAATACGTTTCTGTCAAGATAGACTTGGTAGTCGGGAAACCTGTTGGTGCAGAACTACACTTCCTGTCAGCTTTTCATGGAGAAACATCTGGTTTCTGTAGTCAAAGGAGTCAATGGTGTGTGACTTAGAGGGGGAAGAATTTATCATTTCAACCCTTTTCTTCAATTGCTTGAATTTTTAAAAATTGTGTCCCTTGTAAATGCAATTGTACACTTCATTCTTTTTCTAACTCACTGTATTTGCATTTTTCTTCTTCCAGAGTACAGACATAACCAGCAGCATTGGTTACGATAATCTGATCCAACACATGAACGATGGGAGAAAAACATGCAAAGAGTTGGAAGATTTTATCAAACAAAGGTTCGTGAATTTTATTGAGATTTTCGGCTCTGTTGAGCTTCATTACAGAATCAAGGCTCTTTGGTGCCGCTTGTTAGTTTAGGGACAGCATGGTAATGTAGTGGGAGGCACTGGTCAGTGAGACCTTGTGTGGAATTTCAAACTAGTCCACCCTGTGGGAAAGACTTACTGACCTGTTCCTGATTGATTCCTGTCCACTGCCATCTAAAAGAGACGGAGATGCCCATCTGATGTGCTGAGACCCACATGAATACAGTGTGCTATGACATCAGTACTGTCCCAAAACAATTTTAACAGCAGGCAGTCTGCTCAGCACTGAAGCAGTGTACCTAGATTTTTGTGACAGGTCACTAACGTAGGATTTGAGCCCCTAACCTTGCATCTCTGATGTGAGTGTTGCTGCTGAGCTGATGCTGCCACCGTAGGAACGATTTTCACTGAAGCAAAGAATATTAAAAGAACACATGTTGGAAGTTTCTAACACTATGAAGGATTTCAATGGGTTACCTAAAGAAAGAATAAAAACTGCTCACTTGGCTAGGGAGCCAGCAATGAGGATTGTGACAAGTTCAGCCAGCTGGACCTCCATAGAGTATGAGTTTCCTGATTGGGCTGTTAACCTGGTCCAGTCAGGGAGTCCTGGCTTACGTATAGAACATAGAACATAGAACAATACAGCACAGTACAGGCCCCTCGGCCCACGATGTTGTGCCAATCTTTTACCCTAATCCTAAGGTCTATCTAACCTCCATCCCTACCTTATACTATCATCCATATGCCTATCTAATTGCCGCTTAAATGCCCCTAATGAGGCCAACTCCACTACCCTCTCCGGCAATGCATTCCACACCCCAACCACTCTCTGAGTAAAGAACCTACCTTTGATGTCTCCCCAATATCTACCTCCACTCACTTTAAAACTATGCCCCCTCGTAATAGCTACCTCCACCCTAGGAAAAAACTCTCTGGCTGTCTACTCTATCTATACCTCTGATCATTTTGTACACCTCTATCAAGTCACCTCTCATCCTTCGTCGTTCTAAAGAGAACAGCCCTAGCTCTCTCAACCTTTCCTTGTAAGACCTTCCCTCCATTCCAGGCAACATCCTGGTAAATCTCCTCTGCACCTTTTCCAACGATTCCACATCCTTCCTGTAATGAGGCGACCAGAACTGGACACAATACTCTAGATGTGGCCGAACCAGGCTTTTGTATAGCTGGAGCATAACTTCACGGCTCTTGAACTCAATCCCTCTTTAATGAAAGCTAACACACCATACGCCTTCTTAACAACTCTATCCACCTGGGTGGCAGCTTTCAGGGAACTGTGGACATGAACCCCAAGATCCCTCTGCTCCTCCACACTGCCAAGAATCTTTCCGTTAACCCTGTATTCTGCTTTCAAATTTGTCCTTCCAAAATGAATCACCTCACAATTTTCAGGGTTAAACTCCATCTGCCACTTCTCAGCCCAGCTTTGCATCCTATCAATGTCCCTTTGTAACCTGGAACAACCGTCTGCACTGTCCACAACTCGACCCACCTTCGTATCGTCTGCGAACTTACTAATCCACCCTTCCATTCCTTCATCCAAATCATTTACAAAAGTCACAAATAGAAGAGGACCCAGAACAGATTCTTATGGTACACCACTCATAACTGAGCACCTTGTTGAATATTTTCCATCCACTACCACTCTTTGTCTTCGAAGAGTCAGCCAATTCTGAATCCAATCTGCCACATTTCCCCCTATCCCATGCCTCCTTACGTTCTGCATGAGCTGACCATGGGGAACCTTATCAAACACCTTACTTAAATCCATGTATACCACATCCACTGCTCTACCTTCATCCACGTGTTTGGTCACCTCTTCAAAGAATTCAATAAGGTTTGTGAGGCATGATCCACCCCTCACAAATCCATGCTGACTATCACGAAACAAACTGTGCCTTTCCAAGTGATCATAAATCCTATCTCTCAGAGCCCTTTCCAATAATTTGCCCACCACTGAAGTAAGACTAACTGGCCTGTAATTTCCGGGGTTATCCCTATTCCCTTTTTTGAACAAAGGAATGACATTTGCCTCTCTCCAATCTTCCGGCACTATACCTGTGGACGGTGAGGATGAAAAGATCATCACCAAAGACCCTGTGATCTCTTCCCTCGCTTCCCATAGAATCCTTGGATAAATCCCATCAGGCCCAGGGGACTTATCTATCTTCAAGTTCCTCAAAATTCCTAGTACATCTTCCTTACTAACATCGACCTCCTCTAGCCTACCACCCTCTTTTACACTGTCTTCCTCGACAACTAAGTCCCTCTCAGTTGTGAATACCGAAGAAGAGTATTCATTAAGGGCCTCTCCTATCTCTTTAGGCTCCGTGCACAAATTCCCTTTACAATCCTTGATCGGTGCTACCCTTTCTCTGGTCATTCTCTTATTCCTTACGTATGTGTAAAAAGCCTTGGAGTTTTCCTTGATCCTATCTGCCAAGATTTTCTCATACCCCCTTCTAGCTCTGCTAAGCCCTTTCTTTAGCTCTTTCCTGGATAACTTGTATCCCACTAGATCCTTTTCCGTTCTTTGTTTCCTAAACCTTACATAAGCATCTTTCTTCCTCTTAACCAATCATTCGACCTTTCTTGAGAACCAAGGCTCCCTCACTCAACCGCATCTTACCTGCCTGCTAGGAGCAAACATATCGAGCACATGCAGTATGCATTCCTTAAACAATCTCCACATTTCAATCGTGCTCTTCCCTGACAGCATGTTCCCATTTTATATTACCCAGTTCTTGCCTAACAGAATTGTAATTACCCTTCCCCCAATTATAAACCTTACCCTGCTTTATTTACCTATCCTTTTCCATGACTATTGTAAAAGTAACAGAGTAATGATCGCTACTGCCAAAATGCTCTCCTACCAACAGGTGTAACGCTTGGCCCGGTTCATTGCCAAGCACCAAATCCAAAGTGGCCTCTCCTCGTGTTCGTCTATCTACATATTGTGTCAGGAATCCTTCCTGAATGCACTGGACAAAATCCGCTCCATCTAAACTATTACAACTAAAAATTTTCCAATCAATATTTTGAAAGTTGAAGTCACCCATGACTACAACATGGTGACTTCTGCACCTTTCCAGTATCTGCCTCCTAATCTGCTCCTCCACTTCTCTGCAACTATTAGGGGGTCTGTCAAAAACCCCCAACAAAGTGACTGCTCCTTTCTTGTTCCTGACCTCAACCCAAACTGACTCTGTGGACATATCATTCTCGAACTGCCTTTCAGTAGCTGCTATACTCGCCCTGACTAGCAATGCCACTCCCCTGCCTCTTTTTTCACCCTCCCTATTTCTTTTAAAGCATCTAAATCCCAACTCCCAACAACCATTCCTGTCCCTGAGTTACCCAAGTTTCTGTAATGGCAACAACATTGTAGTTCCAAGTACTGACCCATGCTCTAAGTTCATCCGCCTTATTTCTGATACTTCTAGCGTTGAAGTATACACACCTCAAACCATCTCTGTGTCCACAATTACGCTCCATCGACCGAATTTCTTTATTAACAACCTCACTCCCTGTTGTGTCTTTTGGAAGGCTGAATACCTCATCCTCTGAATTACAAATCCGATTCCCCACTCCTGCCAATCTAGTTTAAACCATCCCGTATAGTTCGAGCAAACCTCCCTCCCAGGATATTTGTGCTCTTCCGGTTCAGGTGCAACCCATCCTTACTGTACAGGTCCCACATTCCCCAGAATGTGCTCCAATTATCCACATAATGGAAGCCCTCGCTCCTACACCAGCCCTGTAGCCACGTGTTTAGCTGTATAAAAAGGGTGAATGTCAGACATACTGACACTTTGGTACCTGACTCTGAATGAGGCAGTACTAAAGTCAAAGACTGTTCATATGTAAATAAATGGTGCCTTTGGGACAGGATCCTGGCCTCTGTGCAGTTATTTCAGAAGCAGTAAAATCTTTGCAGAGAGTGAAGATAGAATTTGAAGTAATCTCTTCATGCAGAAAGTCACCAGAGTTTGGAAAGTTCCGTCACTACACTTCAAAAGTATTTCATTAACTGTCAGGTACTTTAGAGTATCCTGAGGTAGTGAAGGCTCTTGAGGTAACAAAAGGAGGTGAGGGCACCTTTTAAAGAAAGTGCAGCTAAATACTTGAAACTGAGGAAAATGTGACAGCTGTTTTTACAGACAGCAGTGCAATGGAGTCAGTTTTAGATTTACTCAAGAGAAATGTTTGCACAGACTCTGAGCTGGAATGCGTTCTTCTTCTGTTGTGTGAATATTTATGAGTCTCTAGTAGACAATATCGCATTTTTCTGTTCTTACCTGATGTATACAAACAACTGGTTTTGGTTTGTGATGGTCTGTTGCTTGGTCTCATCCTGTTTGGTTGGAAGGGTGCAGATAGAATGAAGATAGGGCCATATGCTGCTCATGATCAAATATCCTGCAGTGTTAAGGTTCACCCATGCAGAATGACCACATTAATGATGTATAAGTGGAGCAATGGGCATTGGGACTATTAGGTTCCAGCATGATTCATTGCCTGCAGGAAGTGAGCGGAGATAAACTGTACAAGACCAGACATTGCAGACATAGTATCTTCTGATGAATGAATAATACTCAACAGGAAACAGGCTTTGTGCTGTGTGAAAATGACCGCAGTGATTGCTGATGTGTGTTTCAGAAGCTGAGTATGTACAAAATAATAAATACAGAAAATGCTAGAAAATGCTCAGGTGGGGTCAGTTGGCATCAGTGAAAAGAGGAAAAATTGTTTCGTCGATGGCCTTTCATCTGCACTGGGAAAAGGTTAGAGATCTGACAAAAAAGGATGATCTATAAGGAGTGGAAGGCAAGAAAGTTTAAATGACAAAACGTCTGATGGTGTAAGGCGTACTTTTTTTTAAAAAAAGTCATTTTTGCTGTTTAATCACTCCTTCCTTTCATCCTATTTTCTTTTCCTTTCCTCCCATG